CCCAGATGAAATAACCAGAGGAGGATTTACTCACTTGATCTCAGAATTCAAGTATCATAATCAACTAGTGGATAGGAATAAATTCAAAAAGCTCTTTGGCGTCTCCGCATTTTCTGGATTACTATTTTCTTTGGAGAAGTGGCCGCACGTACAATTTGTTAACCAAGAAAGACTAGCAGTTTATGAGAAAATCCCTTTTATATTGTAAATTGATAGTATAATAAAATGGCAAATAATAAACATCGTATTTCATATCTGAGGTCTCGATTTGTCTCTTGATATCTTACCGTTGATGTGAGGAAAGCGTGACATAATCTTTAGCATCGCTTCTTCTTCATTTTCTTCTGTGTCATAATCCGACTGTAAATTGGTTTCAACAGATGTCCTTTGCAATTCCAGAGGCAATTTCATTGGTACGCCGGGACAGCAAAGATCAAGCCGTCTGCAAAACTGAACCAATTCCTTTTTCCTTTCCAGGTAACGTTTTGATCTCCTTGCTAAACCTTCATCGATTTTCAGAGACGTTGGATCCAACGTGAGCATAGTAAACGGATCTACCGCGAATCTATGGATGTCTGCATCAGGCCTGTTCCCTGACCTTGCACTCCAAAACTTTTGTAATGTAGCATAATCCACGTATGCACCACAAGGTAGTCGAGTAGGCCGTACCATTACATCTCCTGAGGAAAAATGCATGAAAAGCAAAACTTGTGAGAGTTTAGGTGTAATCTACCACTCGAGATTTGAATGTGTGAGGCGAGAAGTACCTTGGTCTCCGCCATTTGAACAAGGTTAAGGGCTACATATAGACTTTACTGTTATGATTGGGCCCAAATGTTCGAAATTAGCCTCCTAATAGAAAGCCACGACAGCTCATGTCACTCAGACCTTGGCCGTATATGCAAGCTTCTTTATCAATTAATATTCCTGCCACTATTTGCGTAACGAGAATTCGCACTGATTAAATTTTAAAACTAGCGGACTAAGTAGATATTTGACTCGAGATGCACCAAAGAACATTCATTAAAGAAAATGAACCGTTAGTCGGCAAAGGTAGATTGTTGTTGATGGTTCCGCGCTCCATTTTGTATATTAGCCAAAATGTTATTTTAATCGAAGGTATGAAGACAAAGATGGGGTGGATTTTAGTATGGTCGAGGACTCTTTTCGTTGCATAGTTGTTTGACCTTGGTTACGCAACTTGGACGTATTTTCAGGGATACCTAGAGGAACACATCCTGTCTGGAGTATACACGATAATTCCCAAAGAAT